CTTTAATTTAAAAATTAGAATACAAATAAAATTATGCTAATGAAAAAATAAACATAACATAAAATAATTGATAATACAAAAAATTGCATGGAATCACATGAACTCATGAAGTAAAGGTTGAAAATGAGAAGAAAATGAAATATAAATAATAATAATAATAATAATAATTAAAAAAAAAAAAACTTTTAGAACATTTTAGAATAATAAAAAAATAAAAATTCAAAATAATAAAAATAAAATATAAATGAAAATGAAAAAAAATTAAAAATTAAAATTGAAAAATAATCAATTTGTAATTATGTAATTATCATAATTTACGGTCCCTCCGTGTGAATCGAAAATTATACTTACCCAATCGATTACACTCAATTACCTGCGGTAAGGTTTGCGGCGTTGTTATGATGTAATATAAGAGGGAGAGAATAAGAGCTTTTAGGTGACAAGTGCGCCTGTTTAGCCACCTATTCAACTAAATCTTTTTCCATGGCAGCATGCATGCGCTTTCGTGTTTGCCGTTATTTATTCCCAACTTTTGGCATCTTTCTGAAGAGTTTGTGATATTACCAATTATGAATTTAATATTTTAAAATATGGATATATTATTAAAAAGAAGAAGAAAAAATATGTTAAGTGAATATTGAATCCTAATTCTCAAGGGAAACAATTCAACATTCAATTAATTGTTGGTATTTTAACATTTTTGAAATATATACATAACTATCAAAAAACAATAAAAAAATTACGGATTCAAGTGCCTAAAATTTTTACCTATATTCGCCCATGTTGAAGGTGATCCGACTTCCTTCTTTGCCTCATAAATTATTTATTTTTTCTTGTTTGTCTAATTCGAGTTATAAATGAGTATCGTACAATTTAATTGTTTTATAAGTCATATAATTGCATTAATCTATATTTGTTGTTTTTAGTTTATGTGATATAATTAAAAATTTTGAGATTAATTAAAATTTTCTTTGATGGGAACTTTTTTTATTTGTTTTAAAATATTTTAAGTTGTTAATTTATTTTGATTTACAGTACTTTTTATTAATTTCTAAATATTTAATTTTTATTTTAGAAAATGTAAAACATCATGATCAAATATAATCAAAATTTAGAAGTTTGAATTTTGAAATTTCAATTGTGTCATATAAATTGGGATAAAAGGGAGTATTATGTAAATAAGTGAATATTATAACAATTAGAAAAAATAAATCAAGGTACTTGATGTGCCTTTTCTTTTCTTATCCATCTTGATACTGTTAGAGATTATTTTTTTTGGTAGAATATGATAGGATAGGATATTCATGAGATTAGTTATTTTATTCTTAAAATAAAATAGATAGTTTTCATTGTTTCAAATTTTAAATGATGAGATAAAGTAATTTAAATTAATTAATTATCATAATTAATTATAGGATAAATTACAGAAATACACACCTTTTGTTTCACTTATTTCCATTATCCCCTATTACTTTTAAAAATCTCCAAAATCCCTTATTTCTTTGATGTATTCGAGTTGCATATTAATGTATCCGAACCAGTATTTAATGTATCTGAGCTACATATTATGTATCAGAGCTAGTTTTTAATGTATTTGAGCTACATATTAATGTATCCGAGATAGTATTTAATGTATCCGAGCTTCAATTATTGTATTCGGGTTTTTTAATTTTTAAGGGATTAATGTAATTAGAAACTTATTAGGTATAAATTGTAATTTCATATTAAAACTATGAGATTTATGTAATTTACCCATTATATATATAATAAAATAATTTCATGTTTTTCCAACAAAATTGATTACTTGCTATTGAAAATTACCAGAACCAATTTAGTTATAATAGTAGTATTATCAAAAAACGTGGTGCGGTGGATAGAGCTATTGTTCCCTTAACTAGAGATTTTGAATTCAAATTCAGGATATAAAAAATCTTTAATAAAAAGCGCTTCTCCCCAAATAGGGTTCTATGCGGCACGAAGCCAAATTAGTTGTGCTCTAATGTAAATTCGAATTCATGACACTCAAGAGAAATAAAAAATAAAATAAAATTTAACAAATGCAGAGTAAGTAGGCGTTTGGCCATGCGATACCATATCACGATATGGAATCGTGAGATGGAATCAACATTTGGAAATGCGATTTTACGCTGATTCCATCTCATAATTCCATATCATGAGATGTGATTCCATATTCTCCAAAAACCATGATATGGGAATTCCATATCATGATTTGAGATATTTTTAATACAAAAAATTGATCCACAAGTTTATATTTTGTTAAAACAACCCACATTTATATCTACTAACCATTTATTTCATATGTAAATAAAATTTATAATCACATCATTACTTTTTAAAATTTATTATTTTCACCAACATATAGTCACTTTAACTCACAACTGAGTGTTGAGTAATAAACTTGTTCTCTTCATTTACTCAAACACCTAATTTATTACTTCTACCGTTTTGTATTTAATACAACTCAAAGTAACAATGTTGGTTCGTCTTCTCGGTCACATGATTGAGAAATGCAGGTTCAACGTGAGGAAATTGTCCGTACTATGTGGGAGAATTTTATTAAAGACCAGTACACTACAATTTATGTTCATTTTTGTTATTGAATTAAAGTTAGATGAAACAGTTATTTAAGTGGAGAACAAAGCTTTGTAATAATTTATTATGCGATTTTATAATTTTTTGTTTATTTGGTAAGATTGAATAAACAATTTGGGCTATTTTAATAGTTTTACAACTTATGAAATTCTTATGTTTATGAGAAAATATACAACACAAAAAATTTCATATCGCATGTCCAAATAAAACTTCAATTTCATCTCATAATTCCATATTATGATATCATATCATTATTCTATATTATGATACCATATCGCATGGTCAAATGGGCCCTAAGTTTGGATGTTAATTTTATGGAAAAATTACTTAAATACACAACACTTCTTTACCTATTTTCAATATTTCCCTACTCTTTTACTAAAATACAAAAATCCCTTATTTTCCCCCAACAACTTAACCGGATACTTTATTAGTTTAAGTATCCGCCCGTTATTAATTAAAGTATCCGCGCTGCTATATTATGCATCCGCCCGTTAATTACGTATCCGTGCTGCTAACAACTTAATAATTTAAGTATCCACACTGCTATATTATGTATCCGAAAAACACTAAAAAAAGGGATTTTTGGTAATTAATGAAAGAGTAGGGAAAGGAAGTAATTTCTTTCTTATACTATGTCATTTGCCTAATTTTTACATCGCTGCTATATTAAGTATCCACATTGCTATATTATGTATCCGAAAAATACTAAAAAAGGGATTTTTGGTAATTAATGAAAGAGTAGGGAAAGGAAGTAATTTCTTTCTTATACTATGTCATTTGCCTAATTTTTACTAATTTTATATGTTTCATTCTGAATTCATTCCAAGGCCCAAGGCGAAAAATAAATAAATTATGAATCGTTATTTCTTATACATATATACATTTTTTTAAATTATTGTCAGTATAGTTAACTACTTATGAGGAAATCAATGATTTTATTTATAAAGATATAATAATGAATTCATTAAAGTTGAAATTAGTTGGGATAGTCCGTTGTCAAATCTCTACGTCAAGACTGCCACGCTAGCAAATTTCGCGGCAAAATTTGGATGTTAACTCAAAGCTTTTACCCACGTGTCCGCTAATTCGCTTCTACACACGTGGAACCCCTGCTAAAATATCACCATGAAATTTTTATTCTTTCATTTTTACCTAATAAATTCTGTATTTTATTTTACTTTTTATACATACTATTTTGTGTTTTAATTTATGGAATGATTTTTTAATTTATTTTGATCTTTTTAATTATATTCAAATTTAATTATATTAATATTCAATATTTTCTTGGGAAAAAGGACGAATATATCCGAACTATTGTAAATGTTATCTAGATACCATTCGTTATACTTTTGAGACATTGATGCCCCTGCCGTCCAAAAACTAGAGCATATATACCTTTTATACTAACGGACATATACATGTCATAATCTTATCCATCGATCCGACATTTATTAAATATTGAATCGGCGGATAAGATTGCGCCACATGTCCCTATTTAGCCTTCTGTTAGAATGAAAGACATATATACTCTAGTTTTTGGATGGCAGGGGCACTAATGTCCCAAAAGTATGACAGAAGGTATCTGCAAATCATTTATGATAATTCGGAGGTATATTTGTCCCTTTTCCCTATTTTCTTTAATTAACATTTTAATAAAGGGAACAAAGACAAATATATCCCCGAACTATCATAAATGATATGCAGATACCCTCCGTCATACTTTTGGGATATTGGTGCCCCTGCCGTCCAAAAACTGGAGCATATATATATACCCATTAATTAGGAATATTCTTAGCCCTTTAATCAGTGGCGGACCCAGGATTTGTGTTCAGGGGGTTTGAAAAATAAAAGTATAAACGTGTAAATAAGTCTTTAGAAATGGGAACCTTGAATTTTTTTGGGTTTACACAACCACACTTCTAGCACGTTTTTTTTTTAAACAAAAAAACTTGAAAAACAGAACTGAAAATTAAAAAAATAAAAAATAAAACGCTATCACAGGGATTCAAACTGGTGACGTGAAGCTTAATTTCAGAAGGACTTGCCACTGCACCATCATTTTCTCCTTGTTATTGAGAGGGTTCAATATATATATATCTATAAAAATACAGAAAATTTATCTTATATATATAGTATAATTTTTTGCCAAGGGGGTTTGGGTGAACCCCTGGATCCCAGGTGGGCATTTAATTAATGCGTAAATCATGGACTTAACGATTTAACTTCACCTGCGTGACAAGGATGACCAGATACAGTTGTATTATCGCGTGTGTGCCGTGTGTCACATGATCCACGTGCATAACCACTGTTTGTACACTTGTAAACTTGTCCAACTATAAATAAAAATGTCGTCCTATTTTAATTAAATACTACTGCCTAATACTTTCCCTTTTTGGCCTAAGGGCAAATCTTACCTTTTTAAAGGAGAAGAAAAAAGGTACTGATGATGGCGGAATGTGTAGAATCAAAGAAATCAATAGTTGGACGTTCGAGAAAAGGTTGCATGAGAGGTAAAGGCGGTCCAGAAAACGCGTTGTGCACATATAGAGGAGTGAGACAAAGAACATGGGGCAAATGGGTAGCTGAAATAAGAGAACCAAATCGTGGAGCACGAATTTGGTTAGGCACTTTCAATACATCAGTCGAAGCAGCCAGAGCCTATGATGACGCAGCACGCCGGCTTTATGGTTCTGATGCGAAGCTCAATCTCTCAGAAGAAGAAGAATCAATAATTTCTTCGGACACAGAAATTAGTTGCATGGAAAACAACATAATCGAGGAATGTTCTGTACTTGAGGAAGCATCCATATTTAAAGATGGAAACGGGGAGTATTTGGTGTGGGATACGCCCGCACCTAATTTGCTTGGCTTGGATTTTCATGGAGACGCTACATCTTTCAATTGGACTGATGAACCTGAAATCATGTATTGATTTTGAGTCCTTACTTGTCTAGTAACTCTTTGGTTTCAATTTTCTTCTTCCTTTTCATTTTAAATTGTGGGGAGAAAAAAACGAAATTTCTAGCTAGTATAGTTAGTTAGTAGGTTTATTAGGCTTTTTCCTTTTTGTAATTTCTTTCTAGTTAGAAATAGTAAAATTGGTCCACTGGTATATATTATTACTAAATAATAAAGGTTATTGTACTGTGTGTATTGGATTTTGTTTTACTGTGTATAATAATTAATTAATTCAATTTTGGAAATGATAATCATACAAATATTTTACAGAGCTCTCCTAAAGCGGAGGATATTTTATATTTTTATTATTACAGAGAAGAGCAAAAACATTTGTTGAGAAACTTATTTCTAACAAAATACGTTATCACAACTGTCTATGATGAAAAATGTGTTGATAATTTTAAAATTTAGTGGAAATAGGGATAGATCAATTTATAAAATTGTACATGAAAACGAAAGAAAAGCGGAAGAAAGAAAAGCGGAAAATAGTAAAAACAAGAACAAGATAAAGCAGAAAACTTATTCTTCTATTAAAATCCCCAAAATCTGATTGTCACGTGTACAAACCACTGCTTTCAAAATCAGGTACTTTCTTGGTTTGGAATTTTCTAGGAGTGAGGCAGACATTCTTATCTACCAGAGGAAGTATGCTTTATAGTTAATAGCAGACATGGTTTAGCAGTAGCTAAACCAATGTCCACACCACACTTATGGAACTAAACCTAAAACTCACCACAACTGAGTTTGATGCCAACATTAACATAGATTGTCATTTCATTCGAAAGAAGATACAAAATGACTTACTTGTTACTGATTATTTGCCATCATAAGACCGGCCTTGGGAAGAGTTTTCCTCATTGCCCAAGCTAGGAATGAAGAATATCTCTTAGCTTGAAGGGGGGTTTAAAGAATTAAACAAGTGTACTGTGGATGTAAATTGATGAATTGGTGGTGTCACAGTTGTACAGTTAGTTAGGACCAATCAGTAAATTGGTTAGAAGAGTCAGTTAGTATGTTGAGTTGGTTAGACCACATCATCATTGTGTTATGTGTATGTATAGCAATGCACATATCACATTTTGTAACTAATTCATTGAAGAAGAATGTTCTCTCTGTTGACCTTCAAACACATTATTGTTGATTCTTAGATATTTTCATCATTCTGTATATTCATAAACTTAACATTTCATATATTGTCTAATACACAAATTGCAAGAGATTAATTTTATACTTATTACAATTACAACTCAAATTCCTCATATTTGTACCTTAGTTTTGGCTAGCTCTGATCATTAGAGTTGGGTAATTGTAATTCCAAATCAACTGATTTACTCAATTGTTTATTTACTTCAATATCCTCTGCACTTGTTGTTGGGTATAGCATGAATGAGAAATAAAAAGAGAAAATGGAAAATGGAAGAACCAATGAAAGTGGGGGAACCAATTTTGGAGGGAAAATGAAAAAGTCATTGCAAAGTGAAAATGAAAAGTCATTTTTACCATATTAGTAGAAGAAAGGAAATTGTTGTCCTTATAGTAGGAAACACTTCATTTAGTTCTTAAAGGGTTAAGAAGAAGGTGTCCCCTCGCGCCGTCGTCGTCGCTCGCTCGACCTCGGCTTCGGATTTGGCAAAAATTTCGCAGGTAAATTCGTTTGAAGTCGTTACTTTTCCCAAAAGACACAACGTTCTGGAAAAAATGGGTCTGAACAGATTTGTCTGAATAGACGCGTTCTTTGCTGCTAATGGCTATAAATAAGAGGTCGTTTTCATAGATTTGTCTGAACAAACACGTTCCTTGCTGCTAATGGCTATAAATAAGAGGTCGTTTTCATTTTCCAAACACTGAAATTTTTTCCTCGATTCTCTGCATACATTTTCTTACATAAACAAAATTGTCGATCGACTGAGTCTGTGTGTGCTCTTGTTGCTGTTCTTGCGTTCGCTGAAGTTATTGAAGTTTGAGGTACCGCTACTTCTTTAATAGGTTAATCCATTTTATCTTGGGAGGAATTAATCTGTAACCTTGGGTACAATGAGGGGATTAAATTTCTTAAGGAAAACAGTGGTTTCTGTGGACTCGGATTAAAAATCATTCTGT